CAGACTCTTTCATTGTTTCTAGTTAGTAACATTTTTAGTTGCTTCCTCAGGATAAAAATGTGGTGACCGTATTTAGTGCCCCAAACTATTGTTACCGATGTGGGAACATGGCAGCTATTTTAGAGATTGGAGAGAATATGGACCAGAATTTCCTTCAATTTGATCCTGCACCCCGGCAAATTGACCCGGACACAACACCCAAGACCCCTGATTATTTTTTGTAATTTTTATAATTCAGTGCTGGTTTGTAATTTCTGTTTGCTGCTGTATCCTTGTAGATGTGTCCTAAAAAAGGAGGAGCTTTTGTTGTTTTAAATTGAGGTTGCTCGACAACATCATTCTTTTGTTTGGAGTTTGTGCTGCTGCTGCTTTGTTGATGTGGTCAAGGAACTCACAGGAGTATTGACAAAGGCACCAATGGCCTGTTATCTTGTATATGTTTCAAGAGGAGGAAGCGGCAATAACATTTTTATATCTTGTTCAGTAAGTAATTTTAAAATTCTCAACTGAAAAGCAGAAATTCTTTGAAAAAATTTTCCTCCATTGCAAAAAATATACCATACTGCCAGTATTTGTAGTATAATTATAAGATGCTCCCCAGCTGCTTATGCATTTTATGTCATGGAGAGGTCTGGAAATTCACAAAGCTTAAGTTGTTCAGCTCTTCGGTTTGGTCTCTTTCTTGAATCCTGAAAGCTAGTATGTTCCCAGAACTACGACTGTCAACTGTGCGGACGATATGATGGTAGTACCCACAATTTTGTTGTATGGTTACTTTTTATTTTTTTTTTCACTATTTACAGGGTTTCCTCCCCTCCTCTTTCTCCTTCAACATAGAGAATGCAGCTTTCAAGACACTTGCAGTTGGCAGGCAAATATTTTCGCTTAAGAGGATAGAGAATGCATATTCCCCCTGCAGGATATTTGAACGACTTAATTTAAAGAGTACTTCATATTTAAGTCCTTGAGCTTAGCTTTTAATATGATTATAACTAGATTTGGTTTAAGTTTTGTTTACTTTCATTTTTAAATTTTGAAGTACTTGATAGTAATATAAAATAGGCGTGCGTGACAGACAATAACATATAATATCCAATAATTAATCGCCAAGTAAATTAACTAATGACGTAAATAATGCCACCTAAACCCTAGGGATGCGATGGTGGAACTGCGTAGAGAAAATACCATTATGATATTTGAGTAATTAAATTTAATACTCCAATCAAATCTTTATATCCATGAAAGTTTGTCCATTGCAACTCTAGCTGACACTTGTCCAAGGTATCTTACATTATTATTATTTTCTTTTTGTGTTTAAGGCGTTTTTTTTTTGTTCAAGACAAATCTCGTTTCTCTTTTTTCTTTTTTTTTTTTTCTTTTTTTTTTTTTCCTTAATTGAAAAAAGTTATGCTCTGGGTGAAACCTTCAATCAATGCTGGAGCATTGTTTGTTTGCCTTGAAAAGATTCATATTTGATTTTCCTGCTTAGGGACTCATTTTCATGAACATGAAATTAGATGTGGACTTGACAACATTTTGGTTGCAAAGTCAATAAAGTGTGAATGAAAATAATGATTTTGGGGATCAAAACCATCATTGGGTCAAAATTGTCTTCAACTATTATGATTAATGGGATCTAAATCAGCATTTTTATTATGGATAACGAGGCCAAAATTACTAAAATTACAAGTACAAGACCTTTTCAATGAAAAATTCAATATATGGTGCATTAGTTTTGTTTTTAAATTTTGAAGTTAATTGCAACCACAATTTACATTAAAAAAAACTATCAAAGTGTTTTGGAAAAATAGATGAATTGATAAATTTTACTAATATGACTGGGACATTTTAAATTTTATTTTTATAAATTTTGAAAAATTATTTATACTCCTGAATTAACCTACTAGTTATTAAGAATCATCTCATTATAAAGGTAAGATGGAGATCACACGAGGAAGGATATATTCATGGGTGCATTGCCAGCCCAAACCCTCTCATCTTAAACTTGAAAATTATAAAGAATGGGGAGAAAAACTTCTTAGATTGATTAACACACAAAAAAAAAAGAAAAAAGAAAAAAAAAAGGAACAAGAGTTAGAGTTAGAGAAAATAGAGAGAATCAACATTTTGTAAACTCTTCAGTCTCTCCTACAATTGATCATTCACAAGAAGATCTAAATAAGCAACCTCACCAAGTTGTTCTATCATATTCATTTGCAATAATATATATGCGTACATATATATAATGCATTTACTGTTCGTGCTATTATCATTCTTATGCATTTCCTATTTGGCAACTTGCAACATTTTCTTTGATCCCTATACTTTGATATCTACTCATTTTGTCTGTACATAAATGAGAAATATCTTATTAGATTGATACATTTTAAATATATGAAAAAAATTTCGTTCAAGAATTCCATAGTTTACCTCTATTTCATTAAAGAAAATGTTTATTAGATAATCATTACATATACAAAATTTAAGAAAATTACAAAAAAACCTTTTCAAAATTTGAAGTAATTATAAATTCCATTAAATCAAATTTTAGAAGATTTCTATAGCTAAACTAATTATAACTTTTATTTAAATAACATAGCATATTTACCACAAAATATCTAATGGACACAATTTAAAGCGGAAGTTGATATAGAAAAAACAAAAAGATAAAATTTTCTATTTGTTTTAATCACCATGAATTTAGTCAGATCAGCCTCTTGTTCTCTTACTTCACAACAGAAAAATGTCTGGTTAAACTTGTACACAATATTTGCTAATGCAAATTCAATAATAATAGTTATAAATTAGACAGCAGACTAACCATTTTTCTTATTCTAAATAGAATAATCTAAAAGTCAAGTCTTTTAAAATTTATAAAAATCTTTAAAAATTTCTCTAATTTGAACTCTTCAGTCTCTTTCTATGCTATAAAATTTCTTCTAATTGTTCAAGCATTAGTCAAAACTTGAGTTCTAATAGTAATATTATAGCTTTTTGTATTTATTTCTCCAGTGATCCTTTTGATTAGTGCTTTCAAATAATTTATTTTACCCAAATCATCTTTTTTTTTTACATATAACTCATCTTCTGTCATTATTCTAATTTCATTCTCCGATTCATTCAAAGCTTTAGGGTGCCTTAAGAATTTTATCATAATTATATATATTATATCAGTTTCTACAATAAACATATAATGTATTTATTTACACAAGTGCTTTGTAATTGGGAAATATATTCTTTACAATCCAAATTATACTAAAATATTCTTTTGATGTAAAAAGTAATATGATAGTTGCTAAAAAATATGATTGATCAATAATTGTCATTACCAAGATCAAAGTCTTTATGATAACTTTATCAATAGGAAATCTAAACATTATTTTATCTTTGCATCCAAAGTAAGATGTCTATGCTTGTACTTCTCTTTTGAGACGATTCATATATTCTTTAATTATTTTCTTAAAAAAATTTCAAATTCTTTTACTATTTTATCAATTTTAATATTTAATATTCATTAATGCGACTCACCCAAGAAAATCATTACTTGTACTTTCTTTTTTATAATAACTTTATTAGTAGGAAATCCAACATTATTTTTTCTTTGCATCCAAAACAAGACGTCTACGAAATCTTTCATAACTGTTTCTTCAATATCACCATGGTCATTGCTTGTACTTTTCTTTTGAGACAGTTCATATATTCTTCAATTATTTTCTTAAAAGAATTTTGAGTTCTTTTATTATTTTCTCAACTTTAATATTTAATATTCATTAACATGATTCCCCCAAGAATGTTATAGGATATAATCATCTATACAAAATATATCAATCAACTCACCAAATCTCTCTTGAAAGTCTCTGAACTTCTTCTCCCTTCCTTCATCTCATTATATTTCCTTCTCAAAAATACTCTACTCACTAAGTCATTTACTAGCATTTCAAAAGTCTGACTCATATTGATAGATGAATAACAAGATTTTTGAATCTTTTTTTATTAAAATTGGAGTATCTTCTTTCTTTACTTTCTACAAATGCCAAATATATTTGATACGGAAAAAATATACAATACATGTGATCTTCAATTATCTCTAATATTGACCATAAAATACCATAATCGCATCTTTTCGATTGTAAGTAAGCTTCTCGAAGATTCTTCATTTACATCTATTTGATAAGATGATATCATGGATTTTCATGATATCTTTCACCCCATTGACAAAGGAGATGACAAATATTGGCACACTGCCAAAGTGGAGCAACATGAGAGGGGAATAGGCTAAAATGGTGAAGCACAAAGATAGTAAGAATAAAATATAATTGTAATTTTAGATTTAATCCATTTAAATGCACGTGAACCTATGAATGTGAAAACACACAACAATTACACTCAAAATAATTTAATCTCCTTATAGTTTAAAAAGTTTAAATTGGTTTAAACGTTTCTTGGGAAAGGTTGAAAATATATAGAGAGAAATTTATAATTTTCTTTATTGACTATTATTACGTAAATTTAATGAGCATGCAATATGAATGAGCAAGATGATGTCTTGGTTTTCAAATTTTGATAGCTGATAAGGTTGCAGAGGGAATACGGTATATGACTCGAATTATAGAACACTTCATCAGAAGTATGCATGTGATTGTTACCCTAAACATACGTAAACATGTATATATATATACATATGTATATGTCATATATCTATTCATGCTAGTAGCATATGAACAAATTACCTATTGGTTGCATAGCAAATGAATCAAGACAGAAGAAAATATAACTTCAATCTAATTTGGGAGAAGAACAAAAAGATACTTAAATTTTTTTGGAAGGAAATGCGATATTTGTTAGCTCGATTCAATTTGAAAATACGTATTCACACACACACACGTGTACATGCTATTGTCAAGTACCAACTGTAACGCTATTTCCAAAAAAAAAAATACCAACAATGACACAGGAACCGAGGCTTCGTTTAATAAAAAGAATATAGTAATTTACAGCTAAAATACAAAATTATCTTCGCATGTTTTTGTCTCCAATTTCAACAACTAAGCTAACTGATATACAATCTGAAATGAATTCCCAAAAACAAAAAAAGAAAGCTTCTCATCTGCAATTACGCCTTCAAATCCAAAGTTCTTGTTTTGCTTTAGATTTCCTTCCAGTCTGTCTCTAATAATAAATAAATGGACGAAGTGGAAGCAAATGTGGGAAAATATATGGAGAACAAAAACATGAACTGCTACTTTTATACAAACTTCTCTAAAACCGTCTGTCAAAATGGCAAAAAGAATAATATACAGTCAACCATTCTATTTAATTCTTCTTGGGTAATTTTGGCCGTGTCTTCATGCTGGCTCTCCTAGCAACATCCCATGCTTTTTGTGGAGCATATATACCTAACTGTGAAGCGAAAAATGACTCATAGCCTGGTGAATCAAAGGCAAAGCCAGTGTGCTTTGATATTTCCCTCGGAAGTTGCGCAATAGCATAGCTTCTTGCCTCTTCAGGTGTAAGTTGGTTTCCAATCTCCAATTTCTCTGCCTTACTATTATCATCAGGTTCATGCCTGTGGATTTCCTGAATAATCTGATAATCATAGGGAAAGAACCATCTTTCAATGCTGCATCAAAATCAACAGAAAAGAGTTAGAATTCCAACGAAATAGTGCAACTGTCACATCATAAAATATGTATTTCTAAAAGAGATTTAAAAAGAGGGGCTTTATGAAGGTCGACATGCAGGCATGCATCTTATACTGAATGCTGTCTGCAAAAACTGGCCCGTATATGGCCCCACGTCCAATTAATAACTAATAAAATTACTAATCTATGGTTAGATGCGAAAGCTCACCAAAGATTACACAATGAAATAAGGCCTAGCCTTACACCAGAACCTGTAACTAATAGCATATTATAGAAAGTGGTGTAAACTCACAAATAAAGGATTGTATCTCCCTAGAGGCAAATCCTTTTAACAACTAAAGCAGCTACTCTAAGCATAATAAGTATACCCCTAAAGTAATTCCTGCTTCTGACCATGTGTATTTAGAAATAAATCTGGGATTGCATGCCAGAAAAGTGACTAAAGCTTGACGACTAACAATCCTTAAACTTCATAAAAATAGGCAAAGAGCAAGTTTCACTGTGCATTAACCGAACATGATTTAGAGTATAACTGGCGCATTGTGTTTTCCGTACCCTTGGTAAATGAAATCTCCCAGAAGGGCAACTGTAGGAACTAAAAGCAGTGCAACATAGAAGTAGAATGTGCTCATTAGGACATATATGACAAAATAAACATTCTCCTGCAGTGAAGGATAAAAAGAAGCAGTCAGCAACAGGAGAGAAGGGGCATAGAGGTAAAGGTAAAGAGAGAGAAAAAGAGGGAACGGGTAAAGAGAATACAATAGTGGACTTACATTTCTATCATGTGGAGTCATAATCCCTGAATATATAAAAATGAAAATGAACCATGCTAGAATGCTTCCTCCAACAGTGATATTATGCCATCTTGTTATTGTATTACTCATCATAAGAATTCGCAAATTGACAGTTATAACAACAGCAGTGAAAACTAATGTGCTGACATCCCATAGACCAAATATTTTTCCTGACGAACTTTTACTATCATAACTGGAAGAGGTCACAAGGTGATAGCATACTAGAGACTGGTACACAGAAGAGATAGCCCATATCCCCACAACTCTCCATTTGAAAAAGGCATTTCTTATTCCCTCCCTGTACAGCTCAGGGTATTTCTTTGAAAGGGAAGCACCAACATCCTGGCAAATTATATTGGCAAAAGAGTTCTCCATTGATTAGAAGCAAGAAATACAAGCCAACAGGCATAAATTTTACAAGAATCAATATCCGAATTTCGAATACCTTTTCAAAAAGCCCAAGAATGATCACTGGCATGGCAGTAAATACAACATTATACAATGATTGGAACCAATCATCATAGAATCTTTGACCAGAAAATCCAGTTCGAAACGTGAACCAAAATTGAGTCAGCGTAAATGTAAGATTCTTGTAGAAGAAGTATGTCACAACCTGCAACATTAAAATTTTTCTACAGTAATCATACAGATTGATAGTAGTAAAGTTGGGAGGTAGAAGGACAAGTCACCTTGCATATTCTAAGATACGACCAACGACCATGGACAAGAAGTAGATCTGTAAGAAATCGAAACTGAGCAATTGCAAAATCACTAGCCATCACAGCTTGCATCCCTTCCAACCCACTAATTCCAACTCCAACATGAGCAGCCTGAATCATGCTAACATCATTGGCACCATCACCAATACTAAGTGTAATCTTGTGGGCACCTTTTCTGACAAGACTTGTCACCTGCAAATAGCAACAAGACTTAATATAACAATACTGAACCTCCAAAATGATAAACTTATAACATTGAAAAGTTTCTGTTCAACATTTATTTTACCTATCTGAACTTTAGTCCTCAGAAGTTTGTTCAGATGATCTTGCTAGCGAGGCAAGAATCAAAATGTCAAAACTCAAGTTTCAAACCTTAGTTTCTGTTAGTCTTAGGCATTTTTGTTGTCAATATCTAGAATTATCTTTTTGTCCAATGTTACTTAGTTTAAATAGTCATTAGGATGACAGTTTCTTATATTGGAGTATAAGTTTAATTAGGAAAGGTTAACGTAGAGTTTTAGATTGCTTAAGTATGTCAGCAAAGTACCTTCTTTTTCTGATTTTTTCTCCTGTCATGCACAACTTGAAGGAAGTTCATGAGTGCTGTGATTTAAGTAGGAGATTAATCAAAATTCAGTTTAGTTTTTTCTACTCCAGATTTTCTTCTCTACTTTGTTAAGGTCAACCAGTTTCAAAATTTAGTGTCCATAGAAATAATAGATCATTATAATATTTTAAATCCCTAGAGGAATCTTAAGACCAGAATATGGATTCACATTAAAAGACTTCAATTTTGTATCTAGCACGACAAGAACTGTCAAGGCAAATCAGATTCTTTTACCATGTTTCTTATTACTTTGTTCTTTAAACTAAGGAAAAAATTATAAAGCAATCAAGGCGAAGGGAGGGAATGAGGGATAAATCTAAGTCCAACTCATTGATGAAATGTGTAATACTTCATTTAAGTTACCTTCAAGGACTTTTACCTGTGCTTTCTGTAAAGGAGAAACTCGGCAGCATACAACTGAAGAGCAATTCAAGCTCAAGTTGAGAAGTGTTACACGTAAACTTGGATCTAATGCATGCATCAAACACTTTCCATCAATTACAAGTGCTAATTTTGGTCCAGATACAGTTCTTAAGTAATGCTGCACTTCCTCAAGACACTTCTTCATCTCTTTCTTGACTTCTTCCTTAATAACATGTGCAATTTCTACTTGGTCTCCCTGATAATAGTTATTTGATCAGTATTTATAACCGGAAAAAGAAAACGAAATGTAAGGCCTCATGCATCTAAGACATGCTAGCTAATGTAAGTGCTTACCCTGCCTTCAGCTTCCCTAATAAGATGAGTTTCAGAACTGATGATGAATTGTTTCATCTCATTGTTAATTAAGTTGCATGCTGCAACAGATTAAAGCAAAGTAAGAATCCTAAAAAGAATGGAAACAGAAAATATAACAATTCAAGGAAAAATAGAGGAAAAAGTATTTAACATTTGAAGAAAAATATCTGACCATAAGCTATATTTATTGCTGTTTCCATCTTGTCACCAGTTAGCACCCAGATCTTGATTCCAGCTCTAGAAAGTGTCTCTATACAAGTTGGTACTCCTTCTTGAAGCTTGTCTTCAATTGCAGTGCATCCAATCAAAATAAGATCCTTTTCTATAAGTTCTGCCACCTACACATATAATAATACCTTAACTTGACACACAAAAAAGCACATATTAAAGGGCTCTTTTGCATCAGATACTAACATTCTCAGTATATTTAAGAGAAGACTCTTTCAATGAAGTTCCTGATCACATGAGTAAAGTCTTTCACATTTCTAGTTCTGCTAATCTTTCGACAACTAAAACATAATTAATTTCAAAAACTTCTTCAAATTTGACTAGCCAAAACTGCATGCTACCAATCCATAAGCAGTTACTCAAATGACAGTTTGTCATAGATATACTTTGCAGAAGAATGTGTATGATATGGAATATATCCAAATGAACATAGTTCATGAACAGTTCATAAAACTGCAAACAGGAAGAAAATGAACAATAGTTCTTCCGAAGTATAAAGATAAAGAGCAGAGACAACATCACGAGGTAACAAAAAGAATGCATTTGGATAATATTAAATATTAATAATCTTAAAGACCGAAGAAGTGCATGAATTACAAAGCTAGTAATTTGACTTTGCATTAAGCTTGCTACGGAAAAAATAACTTGACACAAAGATATGCAGATTAGAAGTCAATGATCACATATTTCATTTAAAGTGTCTCACTATCAGAACAATACTTAATATGGGTGACAATATTATTTAGATAGC